GTGAGTTTTTTTAATAACTTTATTTGTTTGTTATGTAACTTTGCGTGTTACTCATTACTAATGCAGTCCTTTGAGATTTAGGCCACCTTATAACTTTCATTGTTACCCATCACATACTCGAGCTAATGTTTCTACTTAAAATTAGTTTAAGAGATATTTAATTCAGGTTCCACAGATGTAATAACGAAAAAGACAGTGATAGACCTAAAATAGTATGAACATATACTGAGTGTCTGAGACCCAATTGTCAACACTTATAATTTTTGGAACAAATATAATTTTGTTGAAATTTTTTTTTAAATGGTGATAATTATTTATCATAAATTTATAAATTGTCATATTAGAATAAGTTTAAAACACATTTTTTATTATTTATCACTAATAAAAATAGCCTTTTTTTAAATCTATTTCATTATAAAAAATAATCGATGGGTTGAAACAATTTTAAGACAAGTACTCTTTGAGTTACAGGTATACATATAGTGGTTATGGAACACGAGAGAAGTATACGTACACCAGTATGACCTATATTCACCCTCACTACATCTTCCCTCTAAAATTTCTTAATATATTACTATACAAGTTATTTTTCTAAAATTTTGAAGGGATTGTGCTCCTTAACCTCCCTATTAATTTGCGTCTATGATTTTAAATATTGGTTTAATGATCTTTGATATAAATGATTATGTTCTAATATTTCTTTTATTTCTTAGAAAACATTTCCAATCTAACTTCAGCCTTATGAAAATTATTCGTCTTCATTTGACAAGTAAAAGTTTAATAAAAACCCACAATGATAGTTGAAAAATATCTGGTATAGAGTTTTATACCAACTGAATAAATAAAATACTAATTAGGCATCTCAATTGTTCGGCTCTCTTGTCGTGTTATTGAATCATTTATTTTTCTTAACAGTTATAAAATGAATTTTGAAGAAATATAATAGAATATTATGAATATTTTTATAATATTTAAAGAAAAACAATATAAATTAAAGTAAAGTAAATTCTATCTTAATGGTATTTTAAATTAATTTGTCTACTAGCATTAATCCATCGAAATTACTGATGTATCGTTGTTTTTACACTTGTGATTATTAATTTGGTAATTATAAATCAATTTTTGTAAACTAAGTAAGCTATAAATTAATATTGTTGACAATACATAGTTAATTGTATTAATTTAATTTATTCATTAAAAAAATCACATTTTATATAAATATGATAATAATTTAAAAAAAAAAATCTAATTCACAGTATCTTGGTAGATTTAAAAACGGACTTAAATCACCCGAAATATTCTTCTTCCAATTTGGGGCTGTTTAAAAGTATTTAATAAAATCATTTAAACACAGGGTTTGCAATCTTTAGCTTTGTTTGTGGAATTTTCATTTTTTTTTTTTACAAATAATATTTTGTTTAGGGCAGCCATTTTAGTCCTTCAAGTCTACTCAAAACCATACTTGTCTTCGTGTTCTTCTTAATTACTTTTAACAATCTCTTCTTGATCTCTTTGTACCCTTCTTTCCTTCCGTGTATAGTGAATAACCTCATTACCACTCTTACTGTCTCGTTATATTTTCTCTTCATAACGATGCAGCTCCAACAAAAGCACAACACTTAGTAAAGAGAATACGCGCGCGTGCAAAAACATATGGAATTATTTATAAATAAAGAAAATTATAAATTTTTAATGATTACGTATATCCGAACAAAATGATTATCTTACGTTAAAAGTCATTTTCAGTAAACCCTTACGCAATGTATTCTCAAACTATCAATATTTAATAAATTATGTTCAGTTAATTTTCTGCAAAGAAAATATAACATTATTCTTTTACGTGTTGGATAGTTACCTGTTTTATTTTATAAAAAAAATTCTTATTCTACATACTAAAGTGATATTGAGTGCAACACACTTAACCTCTTTGATAATATTTACTTTAAAACCCAACCAAAACAATTATTCGGTATAAAATAATTAGACATTATTATTTTTCTTTCGAAAGCATATTATTCACAAATATATTTTACTTTTAAATTCAAATATTCAATAAAGTAAAAAATTGAATAATAACTTTTAAATATCTGTTAGTTTAATATATACAGTAAGTAAGGAACCGATTAGTTGTTACAAACAATGAGAATAATAGAAACCCGTTTCCTTACTTACTTTACACTCAATATATCTGTTGATATTTAATCGACGGAAAATTATTTCAATTAACGATCTCAAAGAATTGAACCCACAGATATTGTGCATGTATATCAAGTTCCAAATATTAAACAATGCTATATATACTCAAAGATAAGAAAATTTTCGTCCATTTAATGTCTTCTTGTATTTTGTTACTTGGTCATTTTTCCTTATCTTTTCACCAAGTTTAAAATATTTTGTATTGTAATTAACAATTTCATCAACAAGAGTCAGAACCAAAGAAGCAATCCACTCGAAAGAGAGACTCCAGCAACAGAATTTGGAATCTCTGGATTCTTAGAATTCATACGATTTTGTTTATGTGCCAAAAATTATCTGTTAAAAAAAAAACTTACAAAGTGAGTTTATGAGTAAAAGAGATTTTTAATAGATAGGAGTATACACCAAAATATCTTTTTTGAACAAATTTCTAATTTTTAAACTCCAGACATAAAATATTAAATATAGAAATTTTAGAAATAAGATAAAATGTGAAAAACATGAAAAAAATTAAATGGAAAATACAAATAATTTTGAAAATATTTATGTGGTTAATGAAAAAGTAAATGTTATGAAATTTTTGTTGGATGCTAGATAGACTAGAATTGGCCGATAGAAATGAATTTAAATTTGAAATTTAATTCGGTGAACTACGACTTAAACATAATTTCTATAAACCTTAGACTTGGTAGAATAAGAATGAATTAAAATATCCAAATTTAGCTACGCTTGCTAAAAATATTTGTGCCCGCCATCAACATCAATGACGTTAGAACGTTGTTTTACTACAACTGAAATAGTTGTTACTCCAAAAGGAAGTAATGTGTTACAAAAAAATATTAATATGTTGACTTTTTTTAAAAGAAATTTCCTTGTATTCATCTCGAAACTTGAATCACTTAGACATACATAAAAATAATCTTATTGAGTAAATACTTATATTGCTGATTAGTACATGAATTAAAAGTTGCAATACAGTTTTGATAGTTTATATTTATGTATAATCATTGTATTTATGAAATAAAACATTTTTGTTCGTATGATGACTCAGTGAATATTTATTTATATATTTAATTAAATTGTGTAAATTTTGTGCTAAAATCTTTGGAGCTCATATTTAACGAAATATAGATATAAAATATTCTAGTCAATTAAATTACCAACAATAAATAATCGATTTTTTGTAGAATCTTTATTTGTATTTATTATTTTTTTTATTTGTTTAATTATATTGTATGAAATAAATATTTATTTTCTTAGCAAATAAAGTGAAAAATTATTTTTATTATATTTAGTTATGTACTTAAAGTATTGTGTGTTAATTTAAATGCTGGTAAATTAAAAATTACACTTATTTGCTACTGTTGAATGACTCGATTTTTTTTATTTTTAACAGTGTGATTATTTGTATGGTTACTATTTTTTCTTACACATAATAGTATTAGATAGTACGTTCAGTAGTCTTAATTAATAATGGTTTTAATTACGATTTTTGTTTTATCAATTTTTACAATTTTCAATTTAGATCAAAAATTTTAGAGTAATATTTTTATTAAAAAATATATAATCTGTATTTATTATAATTATACTATATAATATAATTTGGTCTATAACTAATAAAGGAAATCAATGAAATTACTATTTATTGTAATGTGAGTAGATTTAAGAATGTTCATGATATTTACAATTAATCAATATTTCTTACGCGTCCTTTAACACATATTCTATATTTCAAATTAGTTCTAGCGATTTGGATTTGGGAAATTATCAAAAAATAAGTACATTGGAATCGAATTATTTAGATTACAGTTATCCGAGAAATTTTATATTTTATCTGATCAAATAGGTGCTCGAACAAAACGTGTAACCGAAACAAAACGGGTACCGAATCTTATATAGCCGAGAAATACCCCAAAGACCGAGTAACGATAACATCGTGTACTCGAGTATTAAAAGCTTTACTTTATAGCAATATTATCATGAACACTTTTCATAGCTTTCCAAGTGTGATTAATTGTTGAGTCTCAATTATATATCATATAATTTTAAATGTTATCACTAAACAACAGATCTGTCATCCATCAATAGAAATTATAACACTATAAATTATTATTTGAGAAATAATATTACAATATGATTATATAACTGTTTGCAAAAGATCATTAATTATTCTGGATTTCATTTGCATATTATATTCATTCAAATCATAATAATTTTGATTTTATTAACCCAATAATAAAAAATTTTAATATTTTTACATGAAATTAATTTTTCAACTTTATTCGAGAAAAATGTAATAAATATTTAGTATATATTATTAATATTTGAGTCATAGTATAAAAAAAATGTATTTATAAAATATAAATAGACAATTGGTTGTAAATCTAATTGAAATATTGAAACATTTAGTGCAAATAACCAAGTTTCTAATTATCTTTACTAAAAAGGTAGAGCAATTGATTTTATAATTTTAAAAAATGTTTCGGTATTAAAAATATGCAGATTAGAGAAAATATATTATTTTTTGAAAAAGTAATGGTGTTTTTACCGGGTAAATGGCAAAAATTAGTTACAAAGAAAAAATTATTCTATTATTTTTCTTAATCATTCGTTAAATACATCAGAGAAATCCTCTGCAATACTAAATCAATTGAAAATTTTTTTTAGTTTATCTGACATAGTGAACTTTATCTGTTTCAATTTAAAAAACCTACTTATTTTTGAAATGATTGCATCATNTGAACTTTATCTGTTTCAATTTAAAAAACCTACTTATTTTTGAAATTATTGCATCATAGCCTTACCCGATTTTTAAAATTCCAGTAAGTTTGGTCATCAAAATAATAAATTTTGGCGTATGATCGATATAAACAAAAAAAACCGTCTTCCACTGAAATTAGCGCATACCTAAAGAACGCCACGGAATTCACCTGGTGGGGTGATTACGTTGAAAATCGTCAAATAAATTTTTACTCGTGTTAAGTTCAAAAGCCGTGCGCTGAACTTGTGACCGTTGTGCGAACGACGGCTAACGACTGACATACTATACGGAGGCGACGTGGCTGTGTGTTTTCCCCTTTGGTTGTACGCAGGACCGCATTGCGTCGTCCTATACCTGCACAAGCACAACTCTTCCCGCTTTGATTGATTCGGGAGGTCAACCCACAGAAAAAAAAGAAGTCCTTTTTTCCTTTTGGCGATCTCTTCAACCTACCAACTTCGCGGCATGTTTCAACCGTAGCTAGTTATGATTTCAGTATCCATATTGCATCACTGTGACGGTGTCAAATAATTGTTTTATATCATCGAATAGGTAGCAACGGCCTCTACCATGACAATTGGATTCATTAAAGTAAACATCGACCAAAAATAGTTCTCCTATTGTATAACAATTATACGTGCACACTACCCGTGGCATTGTGCGAATTTCTGCAAACTACTATTATTATTATTTTAAACGGAATGATGAATTTTCCACGCTTTTCCGAATAATATTAAATAATTAATTACCATGTTTAACCATGAAATCTGATGCAGTTGAAAATGTGTTGATTGCAGAATACGAGGACCCTTTTGATCGTTATTATTGTAATTCTTGTGAAAAAAGATTTTCAGTTGAATCCACATATGTTAGAATACTTGTTTTTTTCGTACAACGATTTTTTTTTTTATTTAAATAAATATTATGATTTGAAGATAAATACAATAATAATAAATAAAAACTATTTTATGTTACCGAAAAAAAAAGACTTCGTTAAAAAAAACTACGGCATAACTATAGGGTTGACATGCTAAAAAAATTATTTTGGCATATGAAACATTTTTTTAATGACCATCGAGAACTGTTATACTTGAAACAATCAATTGCCATTGAGGGTAATTTAGGGTATAGATTTATGGNATGAAACATTTTTTTAATGACCATCGAGAACTGTTATACTTGAAACAATCAATTGCCATTGAGGGTAATTTAGGGTATAGATTTATGGGTAGCCCTGTTTTTTTCTCTGTTTAACATTAACTCAATATATTTCTACCTGCAACTTTATATTTTAAACTAATAACTGTTTAATTATTAATTTATGTATAACGAATTTATAAAATTCCGGTATTTCGCCTCTCAACTCTTTCTTTATTAAAGATAAGCATTTTTTACTATATTCTCATTACTCTTAGCTAATCCACATTTTCAAACCAAAACATTTAAAATCTTTAAAAATCACAATTATTATTATTTTGCCTATTTTCAATAATAATAAGAATAAAAAAATTCTACGAGGGTTATCGATAATCTCAGTAACAAACACAAGACAAAATAGAACTAAGCTTAAAACTCTTAAATATTCAAATATTTTAAAAGTATTTTAAGTATACTGGAATTTTGTAACGTTAACTTAAAAGTTATTCTCATAAATATTAAATGTTGATAAAACATCAATTAAAATAACTTTTAAGCTATGTACCATGATAGTAATTATAAATCTAGTTACTTGGCTGCGTTATAACATTTAACTACATTGATAAAAACTGATTCACAGACAGTCCAAATATATTTCTATTAATAAATTTTGTAAAAGGTATTTACTTTCGATTTAACGGCGGCGTGTTAAAGAAATAGCAGTTATGTCCAAAAATTATACTTCTTGACGTCCGAAATATTTAAATAATAGTTGTTAGTTTTCAAAATATGACCGTTAGAATTTTATTTCTTCGTTCAGGACATGCAATGCGTGATAATACGCTATTGCGTGTTGATTGTTGTCTTTAGTTGTTCTAAATTAGTAGAACGGCAATATCGTTTGCATTATTCTGTTCAGCACTCAGATAGAACTGTAATTATTCATTAATCATCTAGTTTAGACTAACACGTTGTATACTTGCCAAGGAAATAAAGAAATTGTATTTTATTTTTAGATAGTGTAATCTTTATTGTAAAATAACACAAATAATGGGGGAGTGTAAACCTTAAATGACTTGTGTATTACAAATATTTGTTCAATGTACAATTAACAAACAATACTTCTTAAAAAAATATACTAATAAATATTATTAAATAAAAAAAAAGAAATAGAAAACTCGCTTATTTTATAATAACGAGGTCATAACACGGTACAAAAACTTTTAACAATAACTTAACTCTATCAAAGTCAATGGCACATTTTGTTCCAATAAATAATTATTTATAATCACATTATTTAATACACTGTTTTAATAATTAATAGTTATCATTCTGGTATTAGTTTTAAAAACCAATTAATTATTTACTTTGTACAATTTTAAACTTCAAGTTATTTTGTCTTATATACAACAATATTTTAGAATAAAATGGCTCTTCTTTGGTACTTTAATGGCAGCTCGGACAGCTTCTAGGAATATGTTTTGTAATCCTTCATTAGCTAACGCTGAACACTCGAGATACTTGACTGCACCAATTTTTCTTTTCATCTTTTTACCTTCGTCACTAGTGACACAACCATCTTGGTTTTGTCTTACATCAGTTTTTGTACCTAAAAAAAGGTAAGTTTTTTTATATTACACACATAAATTTTTAAACAAAAGTCTTTAAATAAAATGTTTTTAAATGTTTAACTAAACTGGGGATCATACCGATTAATATCACTGGCACTTTAGGACAGTGATGTTGAATTTCAGGATACCATTTGCTGGCAATATTTTCAAATGAACTCCGGCTACTGACCGAAAAGCATAATAAAAAACAGTCAGTCTGTAAAAAAAGACCACTCTATTATGCTTCAAAAATAGTCATGATTATTTCTTAAGTATATTTCAAACCATATACTTTTTATATCGACGCATTGATATAAAATAATACACTTAAGTTGTTCAATATAAAATAAATATTTGTTTTTCACTCATATTACTCGTTGAAATTAAAATGAATAAAAGGCGATATAAACACATCATCATTAAGCAAATATTTTATTTTTTCAAACTACTGTCAATATACTCACATTTGTATATGATAGAGGTCTCAGTCTTTCATAATCTTCTTGGCCTGCTGTATCCCACAAACACATATTGTACTCTTGTCCATCAATAACGAGATTGTCAGCGAAATTATCAAATCTAAAAACAAATTAACATAAATATCATTTTAACGCAACCTAAATAATCAGCGGAGGTGCTAGATTATTGTAAAAACCCTTCTTAGAACGTATCTATCGTATCAAAAACAATGATTTAGTCAAATAAAATTGAAAAATTAAATTTTATTTGTCTGAACGAAAATTATTTTTTCTCAATTGCCTCCATTACAAAATTTAAATCTGCTCCTATACATCAATATGTTCAAAACGTTAAATGTATTGATCTATATGAACTAATCAAACGTTTTTTGATGAATAATTATGTATAAAGTCACAACAAGGGGTGGTTATAAAAAATAATAACTATTATATAAAAACACCTCATATCATGCCAAATAATTTTTTATTTCATGGAATGTACTAATATGTTTCCAGGCCTACATGTTATCGAATAACATACATTTACAATTGAAATACATTTCTTTAATTTAGATCATATACTACAACGTGGGTAGCAGGAAGCATTTTTTTAAACAAAGTTTAGATTTTGTATTTTGATAAGTGTTAATATTAATCAAACTACACAACGCAAAACCAATAATATTAGTAGAGCTATCATTCGCTTTTCAATATATATGAAGTAGATAATAATATTGTTTTAAAAGTATGAGGCAATATAGCTTTTGACGGATATGACATAATGTAACTATAGGCTTGTCATACACGATACAAATGATATGACGTTATTTTTAATTACAAACGACACAACACAATGCGTCATTAGTACGAATTCATTAACATTGTTTAAGAAAAAATCACTATAAATTTAGTTAATATAATGGAGAATCATATTATTATTCACACACCTCACTAAAGAATTAGATTTCTTGACTATTTTATTGCATTAAAACCGTTAAACATGATTCTGTATCGTATAATTCGACTGACTGCAATACGATCTAAGATCATTTTTTGACGATATTCGTAAAGATACTACCCACGTTTTTTCAGCTCTCCCATACATTTATAGAATTACATAGCGAGTAGTTGTGATGCACATTAATACACACACGTGCTCTCTTAGGCAGTAAACCGGTTTTATAGTATGTCAACGTGTGTAATAATGTAAAACCATAACAGCCACATTGTTCATCAAAATTTACTGTCGTTGTTTGAAGAATAAAAAATGATTAAAAAACATCATAACTCTTATGAGGAATAAATGCGAGAATTTTATACACTGTTTTTAATTACTTTTTATCTTGTGTAATTTCGTGGGTGTGCAATTCGACAATACTCATTCGCATATATGATTACACAGATGTTGAATGTAAAAATTAAATTAAATTAATAGAAATACAAAAATGTATTGTTCTAAAAAAAGGTTAACTTTAGCTTAACAACTTAAATGAAGAAAAAAAATAGTAAGTGAATTCATCAATCAGTATGATGCTAGGATATTTTTACACCGTAATTGTCTAAAATTTAAAATTATTAATTATGTGATAAGAAAAATCATTAATTTAACTACTTAATCTTCTTAAGTAACAAACGAAATATTATATTAAATATACATAAACACAATTAATTTCAGTAAATATAGTTTTATAATTATGATATTTTATAAAATTTAATTTAAAAGCTTACACAGTAGGAACATATTCTGTGGGAAACTGTTTGGTTGTGTAGGTGATGAGCATACATGTTTTACCAACCATACCATCACCAACTGCAGTTATCTTTAGTGGTCTCACCTTGTTCTTCCTCTCAGATAGTTTCCTATCGTGTTTGTGTTGGATTTCAGGACCCATGGTTACACCTGCAAGTAAAGAACATTTAAAACATTTGGCTACGGATGTAAAATAAGAACACCAGCATGTTGGTATTAATCAAAAGCATTAAGGGTATAGTATAAGGGCTGTTGCAATACTCCACTTCATACAGCTGGTCTAACCTTCCCGATAAATCATTTGACATCTCATCTTTACAACAGCTAGTTT